GAATACTGACCTTGTAAATCATATTCATACTACGTGATGGGCCTCTGAACCCAGAAAAGTGGACGCCGTCCTAGGATGAATTTAATATAAGGCTTATGTTCTATGCTCTTATGCTTGAAGTGCACCAGCGATTTTGAAAGACAGTTTTCAGTGCAACCGCCATTTGATGGGTCAGAAGTCACAGCTGACCCATCAGAAAGTTTTTCCAGATTCTAAACAGGAAAAATGACAAAGAAATAAAACTCTACCTTTTTCTACCTAGTTGTTTTGTCTAAATTTGGTTTGTATGTTTGATGAATGACCTTCCGTGCTTTAGCTTTTGGCACTTGTAAAATCTCAAAATGAAAATGAGTTGCAGGAATCTGTAGACCAAAGTTTACGTTCCTGGATGTTTGTTTCTGAAACAGCAACCTGCTATCAAAAGTGCTTACTCCAAGCTGCAGGTAATTAACCTTCGTTGCGATGGATGGATGGATGCATACATAACACTGGTGGCATGTTTGTAATAATTTACCAGCAAATTTTTTACAGCTTTTCATCTGTGTGTCTCTCTGCTGTCACATTCACTTGTGACGTGCTCTGAATCTGAAGCTACTGTAGCGTCACACAGAACAGAGTGGAGCGGGTCTCAACCTTTTTGCTGTTGTGATTGTCATAATGAGCAGTGACTTGAGGCTGTGGTGTGTCAGAGGTATACATTAGTGTTTGGAAGGGTGAAAGCTGTTTTCTGCTGATCTCCATCATAAGTCACTGAGGATCTGAGTGAGCAGAAACCTTCTCTTTCTTTTTCTATTCGTTCATCGTACCTGCCTGCCTTCCTTTTCCTTCGTCTTCCCGTTGCATCTGCAGCATTCACCAGTGGCATCACCGGCATCCCCTTTCTCCCATCCCGCTCCGTGGTCGGATGGCGCCCCCCAGAGGTTGAATTTTCAATTTCATTTAAACTTCTCCTCCTGCTGCAGCAGCATGGGGCACATCATGAATATTTCACCAGGCTTAACTCCACTTAAAATATGCATTCTAATTGGGCCTAAGTGCCGCAGCTCGGCTCTAAGTAGCTTTCCTAATTTTTCCCTCCACTTTCCTCTCCAACAGGCACGTTTCATATGCTTCATGGCTTTTCTTAATGTTGCTTACTCATCTGGTCTCACTGCTTCTCTCTGCTGAATTTAGGTGAATTTGTGTCGTACAACATTGGGGCACAAGGGAGACAGTGATCCACCTCACTTGTGAGTTTCAAAGGCTTTGAGTTAAAGTCATCTCTTTCAGAAGCCTTGGCCAACTATTTGAGGTAGCATTGATGGGGTTTTTTTTTGTTGTTGTGATTTTTAATCAGAACACTAAAATGAAAGGTAGCAGTTTTTGTGCTTCTTTCAAATCCATTCTCCATTGTCAGCTTGTCTATCTGCTTCACCCAGCTCCATTTTTTTTACTGCATTCACTTGCTTTAGGAAAAGTCAGAAGGTTAAAACACTTTTATTTCTTTACTCATAGACTTTTATAAACAGCCACAGACACAAAGTTCCACCATAAACACTAGTTACCCCAGAACTACACAAATAAACACTTAGGCATATTTTTGTCTTTTTGGAATATAAACTCTATCTGCTACTTTAAAGGGCATTATAACCTTTACAACTTATTCTTTTCATTTGTGTTAAAGCTTTCAGCTTACCATAGTTACTTTCACTCACATGTCTGAAGTTGAGGAATGTGTATAAAAAAAAGAAGCCAAGTGCAAGTCAGCCATGAACACAACTGAAAGCTTCCAAAAATCACTGCGTAAAACACAAACCTCAAGAATCAGTGCATAAAACAGCCAGCCTAAGAGAAAGAAGTAATTTTATAGTCTCCAAGTAAAATGTAAGTTTACAACACAAACCTTTGTATGGTGATTTGTCCAGTAAGATGGAAATGGTTCCAAAGCAGCACCTGAAGACATAAAACACCGGCACCACACTGAAGGATTTAAATGTGACGTGTGGCATGAAGAGTCACTTTTAAAAGCTAGAGGACCCCAAAGCAGTTCACACTATACCCATTCAGGTACATATTCACACACTAATGGTGGCAAGCTACTGAATTGTAGCCACAGTTGTCCTGGGACAGTTTGACAGAGGCGAGGCTGCCATGCACTGGTGCCACAGGGCCCAGTGACGGAGCGGGGATTGTCTACCGCCATCACCACTACTGCAAACAACTAAACTGCAAGTCTATACTACAGACACTAAAACACAACCCCAAGGGAATATGTGAAGTCTATTTTTTGCATAAAAGTTTACTCTTTTAAAAACGTCTATCAATAAATCATTTATTTACTCCTGAATGTAGGATTGTTAAATGGTGCGTGCAGAGATGAGCAGTGCTCACTTTGCATATCTCCTTAAACAGTATATTTTGAAATATCTGCTTCTAATTGTAGCTGTCTGACAATTTAACTTAAGTATTTCTCATATCTGTTGAATCTGTGCTAGTCTGTGCTATCAAGTTACTCAGTGTTTGCTCTCTCATGCAGTAATAACCTGTCTGAGCAAGGACAACCACGGTTATTCAGTAGAATGTATGTCCACATTTACATTTAGATGGTTGTGCAAATCTGTCGGACTGATCTCAAAACTAATTTTACCATCATGCTATGAAGAGAGCAAATAATCATTCATTCACTTTCTGCATCCATCTAATCCTGATCAGGGTTTTGCTCGGCTGTTTCTCTAGGTAGGCTGCACCATAAACAAAACACCAGGCGAGACAACCGACAATGTAAAAACACAGACAGACACACACACATGCAAACCAGATGGCACTTTCACATCACCAGTCGGCCTATAAAGCATATTGTTGAAAACCCACTGCACATGTGCACTGGAGGAAAGGCTGATATTGAAACAGAGACCTTCCAGCTGAGAGGCAACAGAGCTAACCCCTGTGCAAAGTTACCATGTGTTGCACCGCGCTTGAGGATATTGAATCTGCTGACCGGCAAATGTCAGAAATAAAGATTCCAGTAAACCGCTGGTGGTGTGAAAGAACAAACTGAATCAATGGATAAAGACAAAAACCTGACATAAATATGGATTTATTGCACTATTATGTATAAATATTTAATACATATTCAATCTGTATTATGCATTACAGCCAAAACTAAACACTTCCAGACCTTCTGCAGACGGTCTCAGCCGGTTGCACTCCAAAACCAGAAATGTAAATGTCAGTTTGGAGAATTTTTTTTTACCTTTAAGATATTATAAATGTAAGACCAATTTAAATCTTTAAAGAAAAAGAAAGTGTCATTTAGGTTTGGTGAAACATGTTTTTTAATCCCCAAGATAAGTTTAATGTACAAATTAATTATTGCCTATTTCATTCTAATTGAAAATAAATGACTTAATTAGTAACATGATTGAAATTACTTTATTCAAATTGATAATTAAAGGCTATTACTTGTTTTCATTTAGGTGTTTTCATTTGATCTGTTTTTCAAAGAAAAAATATCATAGCCAAAGTAATATACTGAAAAAAAAAATTCTAAAGGAAGTTGAAATTTCTCTCTAAAATACCAGACTGAATGTTTGATGTCAAAATTAATTTTGCTGTTGCATGGCAACTCAGTTAAAGCTGCAGTATGTAACTTACAAAAATATGTTTTTTTTTTTTTACATATGTTAAAAACTGTCGCAGTGCAATGTGAGACAAATAATTTGTATAAAGATCAAGCTCCTCCAAGTGCTATTGCTATCTGAAAAAATGCTCCATTCCTGGTCACAAATAACAAATGATATTGAGGAGGAGTGTCTTAGGACTGCCAATCATGATCGCGTTCACGCTGCTAAATGTGCCAGTGGCAAAGGAACAACTTATCGTTTAAGGATAACTGTTTATCCAATGTTGTACCTGGTTATGCTGCAACGTGACTGTTTCTGACCATAGAGAAAAAACAGAGGAGCTTTTTTTTTTTTTTTTTTTTTTTTTCCAGATTGTCTCATATGAATCTGTGATAACATAGTGATAATTTTAACAGTTATGTAAAGAACATATTTATGTAATAAAAGTGACATACTGCAGCTTTACATTTTAATATGTGGATCAAACCTGGAGCTTAATTTTGTCCCGTGGCTCTGGACAAAATCAACATTTAAGTGTCCTGAATGTTTCAGCTGATTGTTTCTTTGTACATTTTGGCAGGAACAAGTTCTAGCAGCAGCAGAGTTTGACCATATCATAATATTTTTGTAATGCCGTGTTCCCCACAAGCCCACAGACACCTCCACACACGTCTTATTCCATTAAACACTGCACAAACAGAGGGGGTCCACTACGGTTTGGAGTAGAAAGGGCCTTGCGGTCGGTTTCATCCTCGTCTGTCACCGTAGTGACCGAGCAGCTTTGATCCTCCTCTCTCCACTACATCTCATCCACTACCCCAACCCCCTCCCCCCCCCTTCCCCGCTCCTCTTGCTCAGCTCTGAAACATAATGGATGATGGTGAAGCAGGCACAGTGCTTTGTTGCCATAGCGATGGCAAAAGAACTAATAACCTGGTGGCGAGCAGATAAGGCCGCGAACAGAGGCAGTGGATGGAGACACAATGGAGCACAAAGTGGGGGAGCATTATTACCGTCAGTATTCATCAATTCCATCATTATGTGTGAACCGCAACGACATACCTGGAATAAAATGTCAGGAGCTGCTAAAACTGAGGATGGATTGCCATCCTGGAGGTCCAAGGCCTCAGTCAGACCACAAATGAGCACAGTTCTCTCGCTTTTTGTTTACTGAATGGGTGAAATTACAATACTGACATCCAAATAGTTTCTAATGAACATTTCTCCATTGGGGACTTTCTGAACAGTGTCTGCTTAATCTCATTCCAACCCAACAATTGTTCTATTTCCAGTCTTATTTTCATGTGTTTACCACTGCATATAGTAAACAGTTTTATGCTGTGAGAGAACTTGTTTCACATTTTTAAGTCCACCCTCTAAAATTATTCCATTTTTTTTTTTTTTTTCATAGCAATTTGATTCTAATATTTGGACAAATATTCTGTAATTTAGTATTGGTACTTACAAGGTGATTTCTTAAAACTTAATGTTATGCACATTTAAATGCTAAACCTTTTCTTTTAACTACAGAGCATCCAGAAAGTATTCACATATTTGTGTGTAGAATTAATTTTACACAATTTGAAATAAGGCTACAACATAGCAAAATGTAGAGAGGATGAAGTGCTGTGAGCACTTTCTAGGTGCCTATATTTTTGCGCTATAGTAAAACTTTGAACATGAGGTTTCTTTTTTTTTTTTCAAATAAAACTGCTCAGCAGAATAAATAGCTCTGAACTTATAGCAGCACATTCTTTAAAGGGTCAGCAGAGAATGCGCTTGTCTGCTTTTGGATAGTCGTTGAGTGATGGATGCACTTTGAGGGGCTTTCCCTTCAGATCTCTTCTTGCTCCTCACTTGATGTTCTTGGAGCACTTCCAGGTTGACGGTGGCAAAACATTTCCAGGCTTTGATCTCTGCTGTTCGTCGTTGTGTTGGAGTTTGTGTTTCTGCACGCTGTGTAGAGCAGACGGAGGGAAAATCCTGCTTAACCTCTGCTTCCCACACTCAAAGCTTGTATTCTCTCACTTTGTGAATGAACTGCTGTTATGCTTTCGCTTTACTTTGGATCTTCCTGCATGTTTGGATATGTTTCAGATCTCAGCATCATCAATATCAGAGCTTGCCGAAAGACCTTCAGTGACTTGTGCTCCGGGATCAATCCCTGACATTAAGTCACGATTACTAAATGGAACAACAACAAAGATACATAAAAAAAAGGATACATACATTTAGATATGTATGAATAAATATAAGATGCATAATTTGTTAAGTCAGAAAAGTTCAGCCTCATCATACATCTTGATTCTTTCTTGGATTTTAAGCCTAAGCATCTTGCAACATCTACTCTTCATTATACTTCACTTTTATTCTGTTTCCTTCTCTGCCTTTGAACTGTAGTTTAGTTCAAATCAGATGTCATTTATTTATTTAATTGTTTATTTGAACCATTCTTTTTCCAGGATCAAACAATTACACAAGTTATTACTGTTGCTCTTTCTTTTCACACATCCTGTATAATATATACATAATATAATATATTCTACACAAACTTGATATACAAGTTTGAATTCATGATATTGTAAAGCTTGCAAAGATTAACAGGTAAATGTATATGCTGGTTTCTAGGTTACGTTCAGAGCGGTGGATAGTAAACATTTAGAAAATAACACAAAATAGAAAGAGCTACCAGTAAACTGTTAACAGAAATATGTATTGAATTGTTTAAAAAAATTAAAGCATCAATTCCTCCTGTCAATCATAGGGAAGAGTGCTGACTTGATGGATGTCCAGAAGCCAGTCATCCACACCCTTCACTATGAGGGTAAGCCACATACCATTCTGTTTCCAGGAATATTGACAGAAAATTAAGTGGAAGGAACAAGTGTAGTTGGAAAAAGTGCACCAGCAACAGAGAGAACCTTGAGAAGATTGTCAAGCAAAATCCATCCATTGCAGAAGAGCCACCACAAACAGATGAATACAGGCTGGACCAGAGACATCAGAGGCATCTTACCTGGGCTGAGAGAAAAGGAACCGGACAGGTTCAGAGTCCACTTCACAGATAGAAGTAAATTCTGCATTTCCTTTGGAAATCAAGGATCCAATATCAGGAGAAAGATGGAGAGAAAAGCACAGAATCCACGTTGGTCAGTGTGAAGTTTCCACAGTCAGTGATGGTTTGGGGCACATTGCTCTCTGCTGGTGTTGGTCCACTGTGTTTAGAACAGACCAGTGGTTCAGGAACCTCCAGATGATCAACTCACCCCTGGATTCAGTGCACTGAACTAAACGGTTGCTCCCATTACTAGTGTCAATTAGAGAACTTTCACACCAGATTCTTGCAGTTTAATGTTGTATAATCAATGAACACAGAAAAGGATTGGTTCAAAAAGCCCCAAGTTCATATGGCATTTGTGCTGCTGACGAGTGCTTAGAAACTTTTGATTGTATGTACAAGAAGATATTAGGGAGTTTCAGGTCATAACAGGTCAGACATTTTGATGAGGATCTTTACTGTTCTCTTTATACCTGTGTGCACTAAACTGAAGACTCAAAGCATCTGAAGAAAAGTTCTCTGAACTCATGAAAATATTTTTCTATGAAACAAACCAGTCATGTTGCAAAGGGCCCTGCCTTCATTAGGTATGAACAAAGATAAGAGGGTCCTTCACAGCCAACACAAAGGAACCTTCAGCTTTATCCTTGTGGTTGTTTTCTTTCTGGTATTACTTTCACTGTCACTCTGCACTCAGCAGAGGGTAATAAAAAAATAAAAAAAAATCTTTCAAAAGAAAAGAGTGTTGGTGAGAGGGAAATGTCAAATATTCTCTATATGGGAGGAATTACTGAGACGATGGAGTCTATTTCTGACCTCAGAGGAGATGCGAGATGAACGTTAGCGCCAAACCGCTGATGTCGCGACCCGTAATCGTCCAATCTGCCGAACAGCGAGCAGAGCGAGCGGCGAGCACTGAGCTGTTTGTTGTTGTTCAGGGTTGGAGGTCGAATGTGTGAATAATCCAGCCTTGCAAGAGCGCCGGCTTGATGGCTGATATCCAGAAGCTTCCAGCTCATATCTCTCTCACACAAGCAGAAAGAAATAATTTATGAATATGTGGATTGGCAAGAGTTTAAAATATGGGTTCAAACCCAAAACAGTAAAATATGATTCCTCATCCATTATGGCTTTTCTTTCTTTTCATCAAACCTGTCCTCGCTGGTTTACCTGGTAAACCTTAAAAAACCAGCTGTGGCAGCTTTTTCACCGTAGTGACCGTTTGCCCATTTTTACCATCGCTATGTACACAGAAAGACGAACATAGCCCTTCTTTTCAACCAAATGAAAGGCTTTGTATGAAAAATATTATGTCGTAGTCAAATTTTGTAATAATTCTTCACTGTTTCATCTAAAACCATGTCTTCTTGGAATAAGTTCCAAGTGAAAAAAATGCACTTGTTTGGGCACTTGCACATTGGTGCGTGTGAATCCCACAAAACAAATCATTAAGTTATTTAAAATAAGTTCCAGTCAAACAAAAAATAAAGCTCACTTTCTCTCAGCTATTAAGTCTGCAAAAAAGTACTCCAAATGAATATGTGTCTCATTATGCATATGTTGGTAATTCAATAGATTAAATAAATGGAAAAACAATCTTCTATATACAAAATATATATTTTCATTAAATGTGTAAAAAGTAGACTTTTTTCACACTTTTTTTTTAACCTTGGATTTGACCTTGGATTTGGTAAGTTTAAATTAATTATGCACACCGTTGTCAGGGCTTTAAATGTGCTGTATGTTATTTATCATGGTGAGAATCATTACAGGATGTAAACCTGCCCACCCATTTTATACTCTTTGGTTAACTGGCCTTCACTGTCTGCGCACAGACTGCTGCTTTAGGATATTTTTATTTTTACATCATTAAAAGCTTTTTACCAGCATCTGACTGTTTATAGAGTGTGTCACTTGAACAAAGAAACTACAGTTTTTACTTACATGATTTTATTAAATTCACTGTTCTTTCAGTATGTAGACAAATTGGGAAAAATACCTTTTTGTTTTTGGACAACTGATTGGTGTCACGTATTTTCTGGGCACGTATTTCCACAATCAAGTAACTGTGCTACCGTCAGTTGCACTATATTTGTGAAAATAAGTTAAAAAAAAAAAACAAAAAAAAAACAATTTGAAACCTTTAAAGTGGCTTCTGTCTCTTTAAGAAGCTCCTATTCTTTCCAGCACTCCCCCTTCATCACATCATCACATCATCACAGCACTGCTCCTGTTTACAACCATTCGTAGGAGCACTGGACTGAGAAGTAGCTCACATGAGAAGCTCAGCAGATGCAGTTCCACCCGATGTTTGCTAGTATATGCTGCCACAAGCAAAGTGGGGAAGACAGGGAGGGGAATGCAATCTGTGGGACTGCTGCACGGACTCTGAGGCTGCGCGTTGTTTGAACAACCGCATGTTCACCCCTGAATGGCTGCCAAAGGAGATTCAATGATTTCTTAGACATGCATGGAAGAATCAAGACAACTCTCCTGCTATGTTTTTGATTGGAAAATAATGTTATAACATGGTATAATTTAAGTCATGTTATAATGTTATTGTAATATGTGATTATTCATAGTAATGAGATATAATGAAAATGCTATATTGTAAGGTCAAAATTAATTTTACTGTGTATAATCATGTCCCATTCCCATAAAATGCGGTTTTGGTTCTTGTTTACTTTTTGTTTCATTTCAGTTCTGACTGAATTGGCCTGTTTTACTTAAGTCAATTCCCAAACCAACCATGCCTTTTTACAGGAACTTCCAACAAATTCCTGGCCTGGAATTGCTGCTAGAAGAAGTTAGAATTTCTTCACCTGCAGTGAATCGTGTGTCGCACCTGACACTACGACTCACAGCATGTATACTGTAGATGATGCTTCTTAGAAATCACAGTAGCAACAATTATGTTCAGTGTAATCTCACTTCGGGGGTCCTTGAGGCTCATCATCAGCACTGAACAAACTGACAGCCCAGCTCAATGATATGCTGACTATTTTCTGAAAACACAATTTAAAAAAAAAAAAAAAATGCTACCCTGTTCCACCTCTCTGCCTCAGCATTTTTTTTTTTTTTTTTACAGCATCTCTCCGCACTGCTCTTCCTTCCATCTGTGAAAACACCTGGAAATCTCTGTAATATTTAACAGCCTTTACAATGAAAAGGGAGCATTTATTTTAGCGAGTGTCTGAGCCAGGAACTAATGAAAAGATTCCACGGCTTTGGCATTTGAGACGGCGCATTAAAAGCAAGAGAGAAAACGGGAGCTTTCAGTCCTGCTATTTGTTCGGAGTATCAAAGAGGTGCAGACTTTCCTTTCTCTCTCTCTGCTCTCATTTAGACTCATCTGATGCGAGTGTGGTACTCACACGTGTAACTATCCAAATTCAATTTTCTGTGGATATTTCTAAGTAGTGCATGCATTAAAAACCTGTATTTGCACATACACGAGCTACGCTGAATTGCATGAAAAGAGTAACTCCTCCTGTCGAGCTTATTACCCTTGCGCCTGGGCTTGAGAAGGGAGCAATTAATCATATTTTTGCTTTGGGTTAGAATACTGATTTCCTTCTCTGCACAAAGGAAATGTAATATTATCAGAGCTGGAAATTCATCCAGCAGTAGGTACAGTTTAGCTCTAAGGCTTTCTGCTCCCTGTCGAGTCGAATGCCATAAAATGATGTGAGGGGAGCTGGAAGACCAAACGGCTGCTGCTCAGCTGGGTGCTGGGAAATGAACTGTCTGTCTCTCCATCTTTTGTTAATATGTTCTGTTACCAAGGGGCATTTTCAAACTACGTTCACCTGGTTGAGATTGCTTGACAGTAGCATGGGTGGAGTCCTAATGGAAAGACGCGAACAGCATAGAAAGTGGAGAATTTTGCTGCATGCATCATTAACAGATTTAGGTGTGTTCTCTCTCTTAGAGTTGTTCATTGAGTCGTCTCCCCCGCAAGTGAAATCTGTTCATTTATCTAAACGGTGTCCATGCAGCATTGCAGTAAAATCTGATTCTTAAAATGTGTTGTACAGGTGCTCGATAAATGAGACCACCGTTGATAAGTTGGCCTGTTTCGCCTGAAAAAGTGAAACTCGTTTTAAGATATAAATTGATCACACAGAAAAATAATGTTCTGAATGTGCCGTATCTAAACTGAAGTTGATTAAAAGGAAAATGTGTTGTAGTTGAAGGTGAGCAAGCTACAGATGAGGCTTTTAGAGGCCGATCAAGAATTGCTGGTGCTTTAGCGCCCACCAAACACAGACGTATTCAATATATGGTCTTCAGCTGTTGTATTTCTTGTGAAAAAGGAATCCTCTAAAAATCCATCCTTAGATACTTTTTGCCATGCTTCTGTAAGTATTTGCAAGACAACAAAGGGATAATTTATTTCTGTATCATTTGAAAGATGCAGCTGGAATGTTAAATATCTTCTAAAATGTCTGTAATAGTAGTTGACCTTTAACCAAGTATATATGATAAAAGATCCTGTGTTGCAGATTGTAAAAAAGTATTTGTGAAATATTTATATTCATGCATCGAAGCTTATGACTGTAAACTTGTAAATTAAAAAAAAAAAGTATCAAATTACACACTGTGACTTGACTTGTCGGTGCCAAACGTACCGAGAGTGCTTAGTTGCGATTGATTTAATAAATACGACAATACATTCTGAATGATTTGTTGCAGTATTTGACCTGGCAATCAGTGATTCAACCCAGTTCTGATCTCTGACAGATTGGGGAACCTCTAACCTCACTGGCAGTAGCTGAGTGCAGAGATGTAAAAAGGTGCTACAGATGTAGAATACGATCTTAGAGTTTTGGAGAGAGCAAAGATCATGCACATTCAGTGAGGACTGGAAGTGGAAACAATTGGCGCAGGTGCTTCCATAGAAGTGTTATAAGGAGTTTGTTTTCATCTCCTTATAAATAAAACTGTTCTGTCATCTTGTTCAGAAACCAACATGACAGGTAAGACTGATGCAAATATCTGTGTATAATTGACTATTTCTGTGTTGCTTAGTCACAGATCCTCAGGGTCGCTTGTCTTTGACAGCATCAGAGCTAACTTTTTATCCACTGCTTTTAATTACCTCTTTAATTTGCAGTTTGACGATCAAGGCACCCATCTGAAATTAGAGGAACCTTGAAAAGTTCTCACCTTTTTTCATTTCAAACTCTATTAGGAGCTTATTAAAATTCCAGTTTTCAATGGCGGATGCTTTTTAGCCATTAGTGTGATGTCACATCAACTCTCAGCAGCTTGATTATTGTGTGATGTGCCCTTGTCTCTGCTCTGCGAGCGCTCACTGAAAAGGCGCTCCGTCGCTTCAAAACAGGATATGAAAATATACAAAGCCAGGTTTTTATTCCCGTGTTTATCACCTTGAGTCTGGATAAGCAGAAGATGAAAACATATAAAGCAGAAAAACAAAAAAGGGGAAAAAATGAAGCAAAAACACCCAGCTGCATCTCTCAATTTCTCTCCCTTTTGTTCCCAGTGAAAGGCTCAGTTGTTGTTCTTCCTCTGTTGAATCAGTTTTCTGACACCCGATCATTTTTGCTTGTATCATTTCCCAAACACATGGGGAGAAAATAGCTTCTCATTCCAGGAAAAGGAAAAAAGTAGGATATGAGATTTTTAAGTTTATTTGCAAAGTTCAAGCCAGAGCGAATTTTCAAAGAGCATCACAGAAAAGTTTAACCACAGAGAGAGAGAGAAACTAGCTAAATTAGTTTACACCCAGTGTTTTTCAGCTGCAGGACACAAACTGTGGTTTCTGCTGTGGGAACAAAGAACTTCTTTCTCAGCTTGGCAGTGGAGTAATTAATGAGCAGAGGTTGACAAAATGTGGGTTTTAAACTGCCTTAATTTACAACATTTGCCTTTACGGTCCCAACTCTTTTTAACTGTTGTTTTTATTTATTTTTTTTTATCAGTTTTTAATATGTTTTCTAATGCTGTTTAGCTCAAATGTACATCTTACTAAAATTAGCTTGTGATTTCTGCCTCAGGCTGTTCATGGGCTAAAAAGAGAAATATCACAAAAACCCTG